TGTAATAAATTTTTTTAAAATATTACAATTATATAAAAGCATTATATTGAATCTCTATTTATTTTTAAAATATGATAACTATAATTATTATTTTTAAGAATAAAATAATAATAATGATAATAATAGTAAAAACTAAGAATGTTAAAATTATATAACATTATAATTGAACATTGTATTAAAAATTTGGAATGTTACAGAAGTCTTGTGTTTAATTGTTGAGAAAAATAATGATAAAAAATGGTACCATTATGAGGAGGATATGAGATTCCAATCACTTCTCAAAACAAATCAAATACTTGGTGATGATTATCAACTTATATGAATCCATATGAGTCTAGAATGTCTTACAATAACTTAGGTCAATCCTAAGAGCCCTAACATATAGAATATTAATTAATTGATTGATTATAATTGATTGTTTAGTTATATCCTACGAACTATTTGTGGTAGTGAATTAAATCACCTTACCCCTTTCTCTTCTTTTCTTTTCCTTCCATGTATGTGGGACAACTTCATGATTAGTAAGTGACATTGATAGGGGACAATTCTTGTGATGGGGAGACTTTCCGTATAGCTTAGTAACCAGGGTTATTGGACCCATGATGATTTTTTTTTGAAGATGGCACCTTTACAGGGTTGTGTTATTTCAATTTTTGTATATAGACCCTCAAGTTAGGATGCAACCTACCATCTTGACCATTCCCATTTTTACTAACACTACCACCTACTCCTGGATATGATAGAGTTGATTCATCATCTCTTGGCACTTCTGATGATGAGCAAGTTGTTCTAGTAGTTAAACTTTATGAGCAAAATGGATTTCATACCCTTTCACTTCCACATGTATCGAACTTTGGGCCTCACTTACAACAAATACTTTGATGATGGAGAGTATGATGCTAAAGATGATGTTTCCAATAACGGGGACAAGAAGGAGAAATCATATCTTGAGGAGGACCCCTCAGAGTGACACGCCTGGTTTGTTGGCTAACTTTAGAGCAGTGGAAGGAGGGTTGGTAATTGTAGATATTTGATTGCTCTAACATAGATACCTTCATATTTTGTTTATATTAAGGTAGTGAAAGACTTATTGGTATGTGTATATCCTTTTGATGTTAGTAAGCACGAAGGTCCTTTTTGAAAAAACTCTTTATGTTAATAGGTTGTAGTCCATGATCTACAAATATGTTTGTGATACTGTATGATGATCTATGACTTAACCAATCATGTGTTTATATTTATCTCTATATGACATTATCCTATAATGGCGTTATTTTAATTTCATACTAATGTGTTACACATTAAATTCATAATAACAATATTTTTAAAAAATATATAATAATAATATTGCATTCAAATTCTTAAATTAATTATTTATTCATATATAATTAATTGAATAAATTTAACATATTATACTAGTATGATTTAATTGGTCAATGTGATAGAGCATCACACCAACTTACATCTCCAATATTGATTATTTGCACTTAAAATAATTGTATACCTTATAAATAAGTTTCCCACACCCATCCTTTACACAAAATCATTATTTGAGATCCTTCACAAAAAATTAACCATAATTTATAAAACCTCGAATCGAATAAACGGATTAGCCATACATTTTCATCAAGACACAACAATTCCTTCGTATAAAAAAATGTAAAGAGAAAATTTGGAGAAAGAAATTTTTTTTAGAGAAACTTGTGGAAGAAACAACTCTCAAATCTAGAAAATAAGTGTAAAGTGCATATAACAAGTTTTACAACACTTATTAATAGAGCAATATAGTGGGCTTAATCATAATATTTACAAGGCATCACTGACTAATCAACTAATTAACAAAGTTGGACTACTAATGCAATAAATTCCTAAAGTAAACCCAAAATGATCGAAGTGATGAGGCATAACATTGACATGCATTTTTGGATCCTTAAATATCTAAGCTGGGTGAAACTTCCAATAGAGAAGTTGTAGAGCTCTATCTTAGTTTTCCAAGGACACCAAGAACGTCCAATTCCGAGTTTGGGAGTTCCAAATATGGCCTACACATGATAATATGTTAAAATGGACAAAAATTACGAAAATTAACTATAATTTAGAATTGAAACCAAAGTAGTTCAATAAAACAAATGTCAACTAATTCAACAATTAAAAACACTTCTAAATGTAAAACAAGTCCAATCTCATACACTAAAGTATGTATTAATTATACACTATTACTAGAGACATGCAATTGCTAAATAGTTTGATGAACTCATTCAAAATGAGACTTGGACTTTAGTCTCGACTCTAAAAGATCATAATATTGTTAACTACAAGTGACTATTCAAGACCAAAAGGAATCTATACGGCTCCATCTCCAATTACAAGGCACTAAGCTTTATGATCAAATTTCAAATGAACATTTTCTCTTATGATTTTCTCACGAACCATAAAATTATTATCACACTTGCTCTTGGAAACTGATGGCCTGTGAACCAACTTCATATCAACAATGCTTTTCTTTAAGAGTCCCTCAGTAAGCAAGTATTTATGCACTAACCACTAGGCCTTAATTAAGGACCTAAAACACTTGAACTATGGGTATCAAGTTCACAAGGAAATATATAGCATCTATCAAGTTCCTTATGCATGACATGATGCATTAAAGTCCTCTATTGGTACTTACAGGTTTCACACAAGTAAAAATCATCTATTGTTCTTTATCTACTCATTTGACACCTCTATAACTTATTTCTTGGTGTACGTCGATGACACCTTCTCATTAGAAATGATAAGAAATTTCATGGTGCATTGATTCACTCAATGTCATAGAGAGTTTCCCTTAAAAACGTGTGCTCCTCACCACTTTCTTGGAATTGAATTTATCCCCACATCTTTAGGCAGGTTCTTATCTCAACACAAGTACATTAGTCACAATCACTTTTGAGACTGTGGTTCTCTAATCTACTTATGCAACTACATGTACCAACACGAAGCTCCTTGAAGATTCTCTAAGATAACATTAGTGTCACATATACCTTTGTGTCTAACCTTGTATTGCACCCTCTCATGAAACACATTTTTATTTACTAATATTTTGTTAAAGAACAAGTTCAAAATAGGCAGGTTACATGTCCCATGTCTCCACAAAGTACCAACTATAGACATACTAACCGGGTCACTACCAACTACAAGATTTCAAGATCTCACATGCAAGATAAGGTATAAATGGAAACTTCATCTTAGAAGCATTGTAATAGATAACAAATGTTTGGAATTTTTATTTTGTAATTAAAATGTAATATGCTTTTCCTCAAATTATAATACTTTGTTGGTTACATTAAAGGCTTCTCGATATTGAGTAACAATGAACAAAAATTGTTTATTTTCCAATCCTACAAATATAATATTGTATGTTTTAGTTGTGAACATAATTCAATATCTAATTTATATATATCTATCATCCAATTTTCAAACTAAAATAACTTTTAATAACTTCAATTTTCTTAAAAATAAAAAATTCAGACTTTGACTTTAGCTCACAAAACTTTGTAGTTTTTTTTTGTCATGTAACCCTTTTTGTAGGTGATTTTTTGATTTTGTAACCTTGTTTTTTTGTTTTGCTTAGATTTATGTGTACTAGGAACGAAGAGATAGTCTAAGTTAAATTAATAGATATAAATATGACATTAAGTAATTATTATTATTTTTATATTAGTTTTTTAAAATTTTCTCATACAAAAAAATTCATGATTAGATGATAGTTAAAACTAATTACATTATTAATATATAAGAGTTACATTCCAATATTAGTTATCTCAATAGAACTTAATTTTTATTAAGTATTAGCAATAATTCCTTAAATTACTAACTTAAATAGTTGTAAAAAATTACTAATTTAAATAAATGTCACATGAGTATTGAGATTAAATTTTAAACCCAACAATCAAAATGTACTCATCAAAATTAAATTATTTCCATTTAAATATTAAATTTGAGAACTTATTCTTCATTTTTATGAAATTGTTTGACATTTTTCATTGTCACAAAATTATGGAGGAAAGTTATTATGGACTTTTTTTTACAAGTAGTTTATGATGTACTACTTTTATTTGGTCATTGGATTCATGATATGATAGTATGAATGATATAAATCTAATCTAATAGTTAAATAGAGTGCTACACTATAAACCACCCAAAATATGATCCATTGAAACTTTTGTTAAGATAATTTATTTTTAATATATTTTAATATTTATTTAATTTTAAATTAACTCGAATAAAACCAAATCAATATTAGTCTCTCTTTTTTAATTAGTTATTCAAATATAAAAAGAAATATATTTTTTCATAATTTTATTAATTAATACTTAAATTTCTTTAATCTATAATAAATTTAATAGGATGTTAATTAATAAATCATCAACAAATGATTTTTTATTATTTAAAAATACAAGGTTTGAAAATTTTAAAAATTTAAAATACATGTATATACATGCATTATCATTAAATTAATAATTAATTAATTAAATTTAAATTTTCATTGCAAAGGATATTTAGTAATTAATTGTTAGTAATAGACACGTGTTATACATGAAGAGAGTGAAAGAAATAACTCGCGGTGGAATCTCCAATCACAATTTCCCTTAGAGCATCTGCAATGAGGTTGTTTATAAACAACTTCCTGTGCCACATCACTGTCATATCAGTTCTAACTCACTTTATGGGTTGCTTAAATTTTAGTAGAGTTGTTTGTAGCTTAAATTTTAGTAAAATTACTTGTAGAAGTAACTCTACTAAAATTTAAACAAACAACTCTACTAAAATTTAAACAATTCATAAAATAAGTCAGAATTAATATAATAATGATGTGACACAGGGAGTTGCTTAAGTAATCCCCACCGGAGATGCCCTAAATGTCAATGGTTGGTGGCGTGGGGTGTGTGTAGGTGGAGCGCGCTTCTTTTCTCAATACGTCACTCTTTATTTTTTCTTCATTTTTTTGCAGTTAAAGAAAAATAAATAAATAAGAGGGTGAGGTGTGCGTCGTCTGAATCTGTCTTATCTCGTAATCTCCATTTTTCCATTTATCTTCGTATTCTTCCAAAATCCTAATACTACACTCACTCCTTCAACTTTCCATCCTCTTCCCAATTCCGTTCCTTCCTCTGAAATTAGGGTTTTCTCTCCCCTTCTTTCTTCGCTTATTCTCGACCAATTCCCCTCTGTAATGATTTGGCCTTCTCGTAAAATGCTTCTCGGGATTTGAGTATATCCCGAAGCTTATTCTTCTGCTGCTTTTCGCTTTTCGTATTACGCGTCCTTGTGTTTGATGCCCAAATATCAAAGTGAGCGTTTCCAATAATCTCATATTATAGCCGAGACTGCTTTTGCTGTTTTCATTGCATTTTTTATCATTATTTTTTTTTCTATGTTGAATTTGAACGATTGCGACAATTCGTTTGGTTATCTCTGTTTCTTAGGTTTACACGTCATTCATCCTCTGTCTGTGCCGATTTTGTCTATGGCTCATCAGAATCAACTACAGTCTGAATACTAAATTGTATATGCACCGGCACTGGTTGACTATGTTTTTTTTTAATAGTTAATAATTTGAAAAGGGTTTACGATTTCAAAGTTGACTGGAAATTGGCTTTGTGTTTATGCATGTTGATTGAATTGAGGATCCCGAGTGGAGAAATACTATGCTTGGTTGATTGCATGTGATGAATATTTTGACTGATGTGTGTTGAGGTGTTATTTTCACTTTAAGAAGAACCAAAATATCTATTTGCCGCACCGTTTTAAATTATCATTTTCTAGTTACTTGGAGTCATGGAGTTTTATTTTCATCTATTGCAGTAGGATGAAAGGTGTTAGAGATTGGGTCTTCTCTCAAATACTATCTAAATCGCTGGTCTCGCCTTCACCATTATCAGGCGGTAATAGTTTATATGCCGGAGAACATCGGGATGAAGATGTTAATCAGCAAGGTACATCCCTGATTTCACTGTTTGACTTTTAGTGGAATCACTAAAATTGGACTTAGGTAGCTTTTCATAAGAGAAGGTCTCAACGGAATTCTCCTACTCCCCAAAATGGTGGTTGGTGAAATAAGATGATACTAGTAGCGGTTCTCGTTTTGCTCTGTTATTTCTTGCATGTTAAGCTCAGCAGATAAATAGTTATTATTTAGTAAAAAGTAATGCCTTCAAATTAGATATTGTTGTATGTTCATCATCCTAGGCCACCTTTTTGAGACTAGTAGTCGGTCTCTCAATTCTTAAGATCCAGTAGGGAACATTGTGCCATGATTCACCACCATGCGTGTAGAGGAACTGTGAAAGTTATGTTTGGAATTGATAATGGAGTGAATGAGCCTTTACAGTTTATTATATGATAATTTATAGACATAGATATATACTACTATGCTAGAAGGCTACAGGTGGGAGATTCAAATCCAAGATTTGAGTTAGGTGAATGACCCTTCTATCATTCAACAATTTTCTTTCATTATTTAAAAGAAATGTGTTTATCGAGCTTAATAATGAAATCAAATTCTAGATAACCATTCTATTCAAGAACTTAAAATTGCATATTAGGGTAGCTGGGACTGCTGGCCTCCCTGTGAGGCTAATATCTACAGGAAATGTGTTTAACTCAAGAGTTTGGACACACTAACTGGAATAATTCTGGAATTAATCAATTAAACCAGAATCTATGGAACAGAACACTAACACAGTCCTCTGCCTTTACAAGGAATCTCCTCCTTCAAACCAACGCCAACAATTTAACATGCAGGCATGCACAATCCTCAGAAATCTCGCACATCCTATTTAAGAAATACACACATACCTGTCATACAATATAGCAAATCACTGTCATTCAATTACTAAACACATAATAACTGTCCTATCAAATTGTTGCTGTGATGAATTTACTTGTTTTTTGTTGTTTGTTAGTTCTTTGATGTTGGGAGAAATAGAAGGTTTCTTCTTCATGTCTAGTTCGGGTTGCAATTAAATTTAAAGATTATGTTTTCCTTACAGTTATAGTGATGCAAGATACCCTACTAAGTGAACAATGTATTCTGATGCTATTCTGTGCGTTTTATTTCTTGCTCTGATTGAGGATGATTGAATTGAGTGATGCTAAATTCCACACATAATATCATTCCTAAATCAATGTTTGTGTCAAAACTGATTTTTGTGAATGTAATGCCGGTGTGTCAGTACAATTGTAGAACTGATATAGATGCTTTTTGGTAGGTTCAGACTCTGCTAGTTCAGTAGCGTCACCCATTCCTTCTGGCTCATCAAACTCTTCTTATGGTAATCAGAGTAATCAGCATAGTTCCTCCTTGCAGCTAGTTTCAGATACAGAAATCAGTCAGTATCAACATAACACCAATGGAAGACGGAAGGATACTTTGGTTAAGGTTGAGGATCTTCAAATTAAATTCTTCCGATTGCTCCAACGTCTTGGCCAGTCCCAAGATAATCTTTTGGTTTCTAAGGTTCTTTATCGGATGCACCTGGCAACTTTGATTCGTGCCAAGGAATCAGATCTGAAAAGAGTTAATCATAGTAGCAGTAGAGCCCGAGCAATAGCAAGCCATCAGGAGGCTACTGGTATGCCCCAATTGGATTTCTCCTGCAGAATACTTGTCATTGGTAAAACAGGAGTCGGTAAAAGTGCTACCATAAATTCTATATTTGGTCAAGCAAAAACCATTACTGGTGCATTTCAACCTGCTACTAATTGCATCCAAGAAGTTGTGGGAAATATCAATGGGCTTAACATTACATTTATTGATACCCCTGGTTTCTTGCCTTCCTCCACAAACAATATGAAGAGAAATAAGAGGATCATGCTTTCTATAAAGAGATTCATTAGAAAGTCCCCTCCAGATATTGTTTTATACTTTGAACGACTTGATTTTATCAATGCTGGTTATGTTGACTTCCCACTTTTGAAACTTGTAACTGAAGTATTTGGCTCAGCAATTTGGTTCAACACCATCATAGTCATGACTCATTCTTCCTCTGCTATTCCAGATGGACCTGATGGGTATACATTTAATTATGAGTCATATATTTCTCATTGTACTAATATAATACAACAGCATATACATCAGGCAGTGCTTGATTCTAGGCTTGAAAACCCTGTACTTCTGGTTGAGAATCATTCTCAATGCCCAAAAAATATTATGGGTGAGAAAATTCTTCCAAATGGGCAAGTTTGGAGATCTCAACTCTTGTTATTTTGCATATGTACAAAAGTTCTGGGTGATGTAAACTCTCTTCTCAAGTTTCAGAACAGTGTAGAACTGGGACCAGCAAACAATGCCCGAATTCCTTCTCTGCCCCATCTCCTTTCGTCTCTTTTACGCCATCGTCCTGTATCCAATCTAAGTGGAAATGATGATGAAATTGAGGAAATATTACTCTCTGAAAAGGATGAGGAAGATGAATATGATCAACTTCCACCCATCCGAATCTTGACAAAATCTCAGTTTGAACAGTTGCCTGAGCCACTGAAAAAAGATTATCTGGATGAAATGGATTACAGGGAGACTCTTTACTTAAAGAAACAGTTGAAAGAAGACTTTCGTAGGCACAAAGAGAAGTTCCATTTAACAGAGGAGAAGTTTTTGAATAGTGATAACCCTGATGATCCACAGCCAACTCCTGAACCTGTCCTCTTACCGGATATGGCTGTTCCTCCAAGTTTTGACTCAGATTGTCATAGCCATAGATATCGTTGCCTTGTTTCTAATGAACAATGGCTAGTGAGACCTGTTCTTGATCCCCAAGGATGGGATCATGATGTTGGCTTTGATGGTATAAACTTGGAGACAACTACAGAAATAAAGAAGAATGTATATACCTCAGTTGTGGGACAGATGAATAAGAACAAGCAGGATTTCAGTGTTCAATCTGAGTGTGCTGCAGCTTATGTTGATCCGTGTGGACCTACATATTCTATGGGTGTTGATGTTCAATCCTCTGGTAAAGATTTGGTATGTACCATTCATAGCAATACAAAGATAAAAAACATAAAGCACAATATTGCTGACTGTGGTGTTTCTTTAACATCTTTTGCTAAGAAGTACTACGTGGGTGCAAAACTTGAGGATACAGTGTTTGTTGGGAAGAGATTGAAATTTGTCTTGAATGCTGGCCGCATGGAGGGTGCCGGGCAAATGGCATATGGTGGGAGTTTTGAAGCTAATTTTCGTGGGGAAGATTATCCTGTAAGAAATGACAATGTAAGCTTGACAATGACAGTCCTCTCTTTGAATAAAGAAATGGTGTTGAGTGGAAGTTTACAATCGGAGTTCAGGTTATCTAGAAGCTTGAGAGCATCTGTAAGTGCTAATCTAAATAGTCGTAAAATGGGGCAAATATGTATAAAGACAAGTAGCTCTGAGCATTTACAAATTGCCTCGGTTGCACTTTTCTCGATTTTCAAATTCTTATCACGTAGAAAGGAAACTAGGAACTTGGTGAATGAAGTAATGGACTGACGTCTGTTCTGGTAGTTTACTTTTACCAATATTACTTTGGTTCAATGAAGACATGAAAGCAGTGAAGCATTATGCAAGCCAAACGTAGATAATGGACCTTTTTCCCATGCAAAAGGAAGACAAAAAATTAGAATTTTATTTTATTTTAATTTTTTGAAGAGGCTAGCTGGAATTTTCTTTTCCGTGATACTTCAGATGCCTATTTTTGGAAGTCTCTTTAGGTAAGGCATCTTGATCCTATTTCTATCTGTAGATTATTGATTAATAATCAGTATCAGGGAGCTTCGAGGACTTGATATTCATTTCTAGTAAAATGAAGTCACAACTGTACAGTAAAGCACAGAAATTTTGTGGCTTTTTTTCTCTCTCCCATTTCTGTGGTTTGTTTCGAGTATTAGTAAGTTCGAATATGATTGCGGACCGATGTTCAACAGGAATTCCTGTGCACAATGTGGAAAATGTTAATGAGGCTCTGGGTATATTGTCGATGATAGGGCAAATAGCTGCAGTTTGTTTTAAATTTGAGGTTTGTGTTGATGTTCAAACCCTGGCTCTTCATTTATTGGCAGGCCTATCATTAAACAGGATTTTCATGTGTTTTTGGTTCAGGTGACTCAAGTCACTCAACAATGTCTGGGGGCAATGTCTTTAGGTGAGGAGAATAATTTTTTTTTCTATTTAGCAATGATCATGTGATAATATATATACATACATATATATATATATATATAAAAGAGAATATTCTGAATTTATAATATTATATTATATATACATGAATAAGTTAGGTAAATCTATGATATCTTGTATGTTGATTGGTGATAATATATATATATACATATATATATATATATATATATATATATATATATATATATACATATGCTAAAATTTGAATAATTTGATTACTTTTTTATTGTTGTTTAATTTTAATAAAATTTAATATAAACATTTAAGATAACATTATCCTAAAACGGTTTGATTGAATAAATTCACAATAATCGGTAATAGTTAATTTGATACTTCCCATACAAATTCAATTGAACATCGTAAATCTAATAACTACTCTTATATTATAAATTTTAATACAAATACATAATTTTAAAATATAAAATTTGCACTTTCTTCTCTTACAATTTGAAATTTTGAATATCTTTTCTTTTCCTCTTTAGCACTCTAAAAATTGTCCTCCGTGTGATTATCCATCACAAGGGAACTCTATCGTGAGAATTTCGTCACGTGAAAAATACCCAGATGCACCTAAAGTTGAGTGGGGTAATAAATCGATTGGCCTCGTGTGCTTATGAAGTTAGCATTATTATTTTGTTCTGCCCTTGTCTTGTTAGCTAGTCATCAATGACGCAACGTGGTGTGGGGCTTCCTCAATTTCCTTTCATTATTAATCACGATAAAGTATACAGAATGGGCAGTTAAGAAAACACAGCGTTTTACCATTATATAGTATATACATCGGGGTTTAGTGACATTACACGCCTCTTACCTTTTTTTATTTTTATTTTTTATCTATACACTATTTTTTTAATCATTTAAAAAAATATTATATTGCCATTCAAGGAAGTTATCGTAATTGCTAAATTTTTATTTAATTTAATTTACTCTGTTTAAAAATTATCGACCTCTACTGTCCTAGCGTAAAAATCTCAAAGTTTATCTGAAAATTAATTTCTTATGTATATGTTTTACCCCAATAATAATTTAGATTGAACTAAGACTGAGTAGAAAAAGACGAGGTTAAGGGATGGAGAGACATTTGGGACAGACAACTTTGATGGATGGTGACTTGCATTTGCCCCTATTTGGTATTCATGGTTAGGGTGTTTCATTGGATGGATGGAAACAAGTTTGCTTATATTCCAACAAACAATCAATAATAGGTGAAAATGGATTGTTTGTGGAAGGATGGTGGCGGTGGGAATTTCAGTGGCGGCGGAGACGATTGATACTTCAATGGGAAAAAGATTTGGAAAATGAATTAGGAGAATTAGTTGGTGGGGTGGAGTTCCGGTTAAATATACCCGATATGTGGCTATGGAAATGTGATTCATCAAAGGCTTTTACTGTTAAATCAGCATATATTTGGCTGCATTCCTTTTTTTCTGCAGGGAATGTTTTGGAGACGGTTTTAAAACAAAGTTTTCGATGCATTTGGGAGGCAAAAGCTCCAAAGAAAGCAATTGTTTTTGCATGGCAATTATTGTTGAATTCGCTACCAGTTCGAGCAAGTTTAGCAAGGCGTGGTATTCCTGTTATTATTTTTGCGCTTTATGTAATATTGAGGCAGAGAACGTATGTCATCTTTTTTTACACTGCAAAATTTCATGTAAAATCTGGTATTTGGTTCTTCATTGGCTTGGATTTTCAGCGTGCTTACCTAATGCTTTGGATAAATTATTGGTAAGTATGGGTGGATTTGCACTTGGGAAGAAGCAGGGAAGGATATTCACAACTATTTGGATTTTTGTTATATGGAGTTTATGGCTTCATAGGAACCGTATTGTTTTTAATAATGGGATGTTGGATATAATGGAAATTTTTTAGGCTATTAAATATCGATCTTGGAAATGGTTGAGTGTGGATTTGAAGAGAGATCAATTATTGTATGTTAATTGGCTTATGGATCCTATTTCTTGTATCAAGTGTGTATCCTAGCACTGTAATTTGTAAACAGGTTGGAATTCTTTTGGTAATCTTTTGTGGGAAGTAAGGGGTTATATTGCCTTGCAGTTTGAGTTGCAACATTTTCAGGATAATAAAAAGTGGACACATGGATGACAGACTCTATGCGCTTCAGTGTAATTCATCACTCAATGATTGCAGTAGGACACATCAAATGTCATTATTAATGCAATGGGTCATGTGGGAGACATGCTTTTCAGTACATCGCAACAGAAATTTGTATTACTCATGATAGGAACATGGGTTAATTTGTAATCCAGAACGGACCGTTCTGGTCCGAGAACGGCCGTTCTAGATATAAAATAATGTTAAAAAATATAATTATCATAATATATTTTGTTATTATTATTTATTATTATAAATATTATTATT